TAATTTTATTATATAAAATAGTTTAGCATGAAACCCACTATCCCCAAAAATGTGTTAAGGATATTTTTGTCATTTGGCACAAATGGACATGCTTGTTCCTTGTTTGGTATGCCCCTCACCCACCCCCCATCTACTTTTTTATTTTAATTATATTATTATTTTTTAATTGTTGAAAATAAATATAATTGTTGATGGTGTCTAATTTATTTTGTGAAACATATCATAAAATCTCAACTACAATTTCATATGTTTTGATGTGTTGTCATTTTAATTGTATCTTAAAATATGTACATGTAATATTTTAAATATCTATTACATAAAAAATGGCATCTCTTAAATCATTCTTTGTTTTATAAGAGGATTATCATTTATTAATATGTTCTTTTTTCATCTTTGGCGTATAATTTAGTTGATAAAAAGATGAGGCGACTTTATCGAAATACAAGACATGTCTGGTTTGACCCCCGAGGTCTAAGGATGGTGATGTGCCTCGATCAAGTGAGGAACCTGGCTCATCCGACCCGAACGGGGACGGGATTTCCTACTAAAACAGGTCCCAGGGACGGGGATCTCCGTTAGACTCAAACTAGCATATATTTTTCATAGAGTTTGACCGGGGTTTTACTGAGGTTTGATCGGGGAAGGGATGTTAATCCTCATACCCACCGAGAACCGGGGCTGGGAGCTATTACTAAAAACCGGGGCCGGTGATTACAAAACCCGGCCCATCCCCTGCTAGCTTCAGCTGTTGATTGAGCCAAAAAAATGTCATCCTTTAAGGTGGGTTATAAACGGAGCCAGTTATAATTATCGATAATCAACGATTTTCTCAAATACGTTTTTTCTTCTAATTTTTAACTATTTATTAAATATTTGATATACTTGTTTATGGGAAAAAAAAAACAATATTGATTGTATGAGTGGTGGAATACAAATATTTATAAAAATATATATTTAAATAATAGAATAAAGTTATATAAAATGGAAAAAACAAGAAATACTTCAAGAAAGTGATTGCCTTTAATTATGGATTAAAATATGGGGTTGCGGCCTGCGGGCCTCCGAACCCTCTTCAAATACTCACTATTGGACCTTCCTGATTCATGCTTCAACTCTCTTTTAATTATATATATATATATATTGTTTTTTTTTAATAATAATTTATAAATTTAAAGGGATCATTTACTAAACGCTTATTTGGATAAGTGAACATCAAGTCACTTTATCTTACAAGATGAATATGACAAGGACAAAAAATCTTACCCAGTAAGAGGGAGACAAGGATCAAGAGTTTTACCCGACAACGGCAAGTGAGGGCGCCAACTCTTACCATGGTAAGCGCTTACTATGGGTGAGCAGCGGAACCGGGTACCCGGCTATGGAACCGGAACCGCCTTGGAACCGCCGGTTCCGGAACCGGAACCGATATGAGTGGTTCCGGTTCCTAAAATACGGAACCGATTGAGAATGGTTCCGGTTCCGGTTCTCAATTTTTTCGGAACCGTTACCCGCCGGATACCCGATATTTTTAAATAAAATAATAATTATTTTTTTTTAATACCAAATTTATATTAGGTTTACATCTTGAAAGCACAATCTTCATTCTTCATCGAAATTCTTCGTATAGAATGATTCGTATTTTTTAAAATTGTGTGTTCACTTGGATTCATAATATGTAATCGTTAAACTTTGAAAATTTACCATTATAGTATGTAATCGTTAAACTTTGAACATTTTCCATTAGTCTATTAGGTTTGTAATCGTTAAACAATATTTGTAACCATTATTATATATAATTTGTATTCTTGCTTATTTATTTAGTGTTTTGGCAACGTTTTATTTTTTATTTCTAAATAACAAAATTTTAATATTTTAGGAAGCGGATACCCGGAACCGGAACCGGTTCCCGGCGGTTCCGGTTCCGGTTCCAAAAATTTAAGAACCGCTCTAACCGTTTACGGTTCCGGTTCCAATATCTCAAGAACCGCCGGTTCCGGTTCCGGTTTCTGTCAAAAAGGGCGGGTACCCGCCTATGCTCACCCCTAGCGCTTACCGGGTAAATTATTGCATACGATACCGTTTTGGTGAACTAAAATCGTACCCGGTAAGTAAATGATAAGTGTTAAATTTTACCATTAAGCGCTTACCGGTAAAAATGTTAGTAAACAGCCCCTAACTAAATATAAACTTCCCTTAAAATGTTATGTTTTTCTGTAATTAAATACAAAACTTAATTTATATTTAATTTTATCAGTGTTTATTGTCAGTAAACAAAAGCCCTTAGGATATGTTTAGTACATTGAACGTGACAGAATAAAAAAAGAACAAATACTATTGTTCCACATTTTGCATGATTTTTATGTTCAACAGTCAGAAATAAAAGGAAACAACGTATTCCACCCTTCACCCCATTGAACAAAGTGGAACAAACCTATGTTTTACCAATATACCTTCAAAATAAAATTTAATTCTTTTATAGAATTTCAAATATGACACCATCTTTATATTTTATCCACTCTTTAAATTTTATTTATTGTATTTTATTCTCTTTAAACTTTCCCTTTACTGTTCTTAAAAAAACTTATACGTTTCCTATATTTTGGTTAATTTACGTAATCTATTAAATATTAACGACTAAAAATAATATAAAAAGGTATAAAATAAAAATTAGAAATCGATAAACTTCATATTTTGGTATCATTTTAATCGTATTAACGAAAACTTTATAATATTGTAGTTTATTTTATTAGAATTTAATACATTAATCCAAAGATATAAACAGCTCATTAGGAGTAAATTAGTCATTGTACCAATTGTATCTTACCAAATGCTGAACAACTATCATCCCCAGTCATGTCTGGATACCTAACGCACTTTTATAGTCATAGTTGTTCACTTACAATGACTTCAGATCATTCATGATTATTAATAATAAATTACATTCATACCCCCTACTATAAAGATAGATATATGTAAATACAAATATTAATAGCAACCCTTTTATTAATACATAAACTGTCCCAAATATCTATAATTACTTTTTAAAAAAAGATATTAAAAAAATATATTGCAATTTTAATTTGACATTTAAATATGAAGTTGTGATTTTGGTGGAAATTCCACCACCAAACCCTTTTTTATTTAAGAATTTGTGTTGTTAGGGTGATGTATAATTTTCTATAAACATGAATGTGGACAAAAGAATATGATTCAAATGATTGGTTCTCTTTTTTTTGATTGTGGGATTGTTGTAGTTGCTACATGTCTCTTTCAATCTCTCTTATTTTATATGTGCTTTTTGATTAAGACCCTTTTAACACCCTTTTTTTTCTTCTTGCAAACTTACCATTTGTTTTCTTGTTCTTTTAAAACTTTAAAATCCAAGTCATTTGAAAACATACAAAAGTTAAAAGACAATCGGGTCACGAAATCCAATGTGGGCGAATCGTTGTTTAGTTATACGGTCGAATTACGTTGTCATGTTGTGAGATCCTCTTGGTTAGTAGTATAATAAGCTTACTGGACTCATAGCTTACCGTGAGCGGAAGTGTGGATAAATGGACAAAATCTGGTACGGTTGAGCGGAGATGTTAGACATATAATCTTGATATTGAGTTTGAGGTCTTCGAGGCTTTAGTTTGGTGGTTCTGTTAAACGAGTGTGAGGTTTGATTCCAACGTACCACCCACCTACCCTCGTGACACATAATTTATCTCTGTCATGGTGATTTTGATCAGTAGTTGGAGGATGCTCCAAATTATGACGATAACATACCTTTTTCACAGAATTGTAAGTTTAAGACGGGTTTTTACAGTTTTCTTTTTTCAGGTCATTGGATGAAGCAATGAAAAATTTGTTGTTGCTTAAAGACGTCGAAACAGTTATTCTCTTCCAATCTTTAAAACATGAAAAGGGTAACCTAGGAACTCGAAATATAAAGGTTTTTATGTAGAATCTTGAAGAACATTGGAATGATAAGAGCATCTATCGTAGGAGGTTTTTTTTTTTTTCATTAATCTGAATATCTAACCCGCTATGCGAGTCGACTAAGCCCAGGATGACCACCTGTTTTGCGAGTAGCCCGGAGTCACCGTATTTGAACCTCCGTGGCCAAAAGAGGATTTTTGTTTCTCCTTGGATTTTAACCTGAGACCTCCAAGACTTTTGATCTTTAGAGTTCAAACTCAAACCAATCAAACACCACCCTTATGATTTTTATGGAATAAGGAAATGGTGATTCTAAATATACCCCCTTCTACTTACCAAATACAACTCAACATAATTTATCATTACACATCAATATCAACGCTCTTTCTTTTTTAATTTTAATGTATCATTTAACCTACTTTTGACCCAAAATGTGAATATAACTACACAAGACTGCGTCCATTCTTAGGTGGGGAGACAAAATCTTAATTAAACCCAATTCCAAATTTGACAACAAATAATTCCAATAAAAACACTAACCACCTCTCTGTTAGCACTTTAATAGCTCACAACTTATTCGGCCAGCTATAATGACTGTTTGATAGTGACTTAATGATATAGAAAGTAATTAACTTATTCAGTAAGTTTCTAGAGGAGAATTTTACGCAGAAAATCAAGTTTTTTTCCAAACCTGCTCAAGCTAACTAAAAAACACGCTCCTTATCTATGAAAAAACCCTAAAAGACCCTTCCTAATATGTACAAACAAATTAATCCACAGAGTCAGCTTTATCCATATAGGACTTAATGAAATAACATCCAATCAATCCCTAAATCTTACACCAAATTTGTAAAAATAGACCATTTCCTAGAGATGAAAATGGTGGTTGACACAGAAGACCAAAAATATCATGTGGGGTATGGTGCTTAATTGTTTATAGTTATAGCTAAAGAACACTAGTTCTTATTTGATATTTTTGTATGCAGGTGGCTGTATGGTTTCTGGACAAGATGAGTTGTCTGAACCAGTTTAGTAGGTCAAGTTTCCTAGAGATTTTGACCATATAAGAACCTTCCATCTCTTCATTTTCATCTCAGTTTTCATGTTGTTTGCATACAAATTATATCGGATTTTCGGTTTCGTGATCTGGAAATCTACAAAACACCCGTTCGAAACAAGAATTGTATCGTTCTTGAGGTATTTAACTCGAGTAATTTGAGTCTTCACTTATTGTTTTCGGTTCATGTGATCGTCTTGCGTGGATCCAGGGCTAACTCTTTTGTGAAATTACGTTTATAGTCGTCGTGGATCATGGGTGGATGTGTTTCTAGGCCGTACAAGAAATCTAGATCGCGTAAATTCTTTTTCTGTTCAGGAAGATGGCAAAGAAGGGTTTCCTCTTCTGCCCCTGTTAGGCCTGTGGAACAGCTTACAGATGGTATTGTTGGTGAGTTTTCTTGAGGGACTTTCGAAGGGGTAGATTAGTAATTTTGCATTACATCGATCTCGGGTTGATGCTAACTATACATATATATATCTTTCTTCTAGCACCAATTTGTCAAGAGGAGACGTGGTTCGATTCCATGAGTATCTTAGGATCCGACTCGGATGACGACTTTAGCAGTGTCTACGGAGGTAATGAACGCTTTCGACTTCTCATGATCAATATATGCGGTCAGAATTTAGACTTTTACTGTAATAAAATCGGTTTTATAGGACGTCATATAACTGATTTGTATATTACAAATTATGCCAAAGGGTGTTACAATAGGATTTTGGAACGTATTTTGGTCAATTTCCTCCAAATTTATTGTAGTGTTTTTGGAACTTGGATATGATCTAAAACTTGATCGTTTGTCGTTGTTTCTAGATTCCTTATCGTTAGGAAATGCGAGCGATCAGTGCCCAGATAGCACAACGATTCAGTACGAGAATGCACCGCACTTTTCTGACGGCAAATCTGGTTACAACAACGGACTACACGAAGCTCATCTCATATCGGATGGGACTGAAAATGAGAAGTTTTTCATCAGAAACGGATACAAGGACTCAAAGGGGTCCTCGTTTTTTAATAAAAGTACTCTAGATAACGATCTTTCTTGCTTAACGACTGTTATAGTGCTTTCTATGAACCAGAAACCATCAGACGGAGATGAAAAAACCGAAATTTGTAAGTAAAACTAGTCTTAATTTCCTGATTCGGCTTAATGCAATACAACATTTGAAATAAAGTGTCCTACCGAACATTTTTTGAGGAGTAACTTATAAACGCATCCTTTATAAGACACTTTTATTTTAAAAATGTCTTAAAAAACTTGTTTGGACGTCCAAAAATTTCAATATCAACTTATTGTAACACTTTTAGATATGATGTACAACTGTGTGGTCCTATAAGACAGTCCTGCATGTATAAAGCTGTCTGTTTGGATTAATTTTTTGTCAGTATGGATTGGGAAAGGTTTTGTTTGTGGAAGAACTTTTTCGTAGATGGAAGGATCGTATTTTTTAACTGAAAGGGGCAGGTTTGAAAAAAAAAAACTTGGCATTCCGCATAAAGCTCCCCTTAGAAGCTTACCGAATAAGTCATTTTCTATATCATTACACCACTACTAAATGGTGTGCGACCGAATAAGCTGTGAGTCTCATTAAGCTGCAAACAGTAGACATATTTGGCATCCTATAAGCCGATTTTATTGTAATGAATCTAGATTACTTATCCTACATCTTGCATTGCTAATTTGACGAACATATTTCTAGGCGAGTCGAAGAGATTATTGTTTCGACCCAGAGCGGGACTTCTGATTCCTAGATCAATGAACGATAAGCCAACTCCAGGAAGCTGGTCGATTGTTTCACCTTCGGTTTTTAAGCTTCGGGGAGTTAATTTTTTCAGGCATGTTTAATCTGGTATCGTTTTTATTGGCAAGTTTTTGGTTTCTGGAACAAACTAGAACTAAACTAGAAACCAATTCTGCAGAGATAAGCGGAAATACCCGGCTCCAGATTATAGTCCTTATACTCCAATCGGTATCGATCTGTTTGTTTGTCCTAGAAAGATCGATCATATTGCTCAGCACGTTGAACTTCCTTGCGTCGATATGCATAAAAAAGTACCTTCGTTGCTGATCGTGAACGTACAGGTATTATAGTTCGTTTATTCTACCAAACTGATCGGTTTGTTTTCATTGTTTCATACGTTAAACCAAGCTGAATCAAACCGGATTAACTTCGGCTTGGTTCGGTTCGGAAAAATTGGAATTAAGTATACTACAACAAAATCGGCTTTATTAGATGCCAAATATGTCTAACTCTAAGTACGTAAATGTGTTACAATAACTTGACATGATGCTTTTGTAAATCCTAACAAGTTTTTTAGGACATTTTTGAAATACATCATCTTATTAGTTATTTTATAACAGATGCCAACATATCCTGCTTCGTTATTTCTTGGCGATACCGATGGCCAAGGCATCAGTCTAGTTTTGTATTTCAAAGTATCCGAAAGCTTTGATAAAGAAATATCTGCTCGTTTTCGCGAAAGCATTCAGGTAACGTAGACACGAGTTTGAGATCGATCTACTAGCACTCTAGAAATGGCGCCAGATCGAGTTTTATGGTCGTTTTCTATTATTAATCATTCTAAATTGTATATCTAACAGAGACTAGTGATGGATGAGATGGAAGTGATGAAGGGTTTTGCAAAAGAATCTACGGTTCCTTATCGAGAAAGATTGAAGCTAATGGCGGGTGTAGTTAACCCCGAGGATCTTCAGTTGAGTTCCGCAGAAAGAAAGCTTCTAAACGCTTATAACGACAAACCGGTGCTTTCGCGCCCTCAACACGCTTTCTATCGGGTCGGTATATGACTATCGTTCACGTGTTTTAATCTCGTTTGTTGGAGTCTCACATCTGCTGACCATCCAGAATGGTGCTTCTTGTTGAGCTTTTTAGAAACCTTATTAGCTACATGAGATTGTGAAAAGAAAAACCTCTTTTTCCTAGTTTTTCATGTGGGTCCCACATTGACTCGATTTTAACATTTTCTTCTCAATATATGTTGGAATCCTGTTCTTTTATCGAATGCTCTTTTGGATAGTAATCTAATGGGGTTCTATATATTATTACATGATATCAGTGTCAAAATCTGCCACGGGGGATGTTGTAGCCCCACCTCAACTGCTCTTTTGGAGAGTAATCCAATGAGATTTCACATATTCCCACATCATTCTTTCCTTTTCGATTCAGAATACGAATTGAACTTGTGGCTACCTTCTATGCAGGGACATAACTACTTCGAGATAGATCTAGACATACACCGATTCAGCTACATTTCGAGGAAAGCACTCGATGCTTTTCGAGAGCGATTGAAGCACGGAATACTCGATCTTGGTTTAACGATTCAGGTAAAGTGGTTTTAGGGCATCGAATCGACAAAACAATATATATTTTTTAACTTGTTTCACAAATTGAATCTATATGTTTGTGTTGGTTTTAGGCACAACATCCTGAAGAACTACCAGAGCAAGTTTTAAGCTGTGTTAGACTTAACAAGATTGACTTTTCTGGTCATGGTCAAATCCCTAGAATTTTAATCCCCACTAATGATTGATTAATTTGTAGCAACTCTAATTCTCTATCAAGATTATCAGTTCTTTGTATAGATACTGGATTATGACTGAACACCTCTAAGTCAAAATCCGGGCTGAAAACAACGTGTGCATCCGCCGCCTATTTGCTGACCAGCAGTAGGGTCTCGAGACCCCAAATGCACATGTAGTTGATCAAGCTTCTGAGAAGCATTATCGTTTGAAGTTGATTACGAGAGGAAAAGGGTATATATGATATTCGTTTTTATTCTGGATTAAAACAATCGTGTCATATGATTTTACATAATTTGTGGTTATCGGAATTCATTTAATCACCAAATACATCCGTGATCTCTTGCATTGTGATCGATTTTACCAACGTAATCGAGTCACTACAGGGATTGGTTCAAATAAGAAAGCTAAATATCGTGAAAAAGTATAAAGTGAAGGTTCATATGTGAATAAGTGAAAAAAAATCCGACAAAAGAAATCTATTTGAAGATACATATGTAAACCGGTGTTACAGATTATCCTTATGGGTTCATATCTGCATCTTCAAATAGATTTTTTTAACGAACCACATTATGATTTTTTCCTTATTATGTTCCCACGATATTTAACCTTTTTCAGAGGTTGTTTGGTTGATTTTTCATTAAGTCCTATATATATAAAGTTGTATTTGGATTAAAGTCTTTATAGATTCGGAAAGTTTTTGTTTAGGAGGATTTTTCTATAGACGGAAAGAGCATGTTTTTTAATTAGAGGGACAAGTTTAGAAAAAACTTGACTTTCTGCATAAAGCTTTCGTAGAAGCTTATTGAATAAGCTACTTTCTACATCATTAAGTCGTTACCAAACAGTTATGTATAGCCGAACGCATAAGCTTAATGTCCTATTAAGCTCATTAAGCTGCTAACAAACAGAATGGTTCCAATAGTAGATCACTCTTCGAAACACAAAACCAACAAAAGAATTGGCAAGTACGTATCTAGATGACAATTTATATACAATTTTGTAGTTACGAATTAAAATCAACGTAAATGATCGGATAGCTCGAACCAGCTACATAATTTGTTCATCTTTCAATCGTAGATGACCTATCGGACCATGAGGCCTTAATTGCGAAGCGGTTTCCTTTGTTGTATCGTGGTTGTTGTTTCTAACCACTGGTACCAGATGGTTGTGTTTACCTTCGTATGTAGTTATTACAGCCATCGGGTCGCTTGCCGCTCGCTCGACATGTTTCCGAACCTTGCAACCTTGACTCGTGCACTTATAATAACTCCTGCAAAAACACTATGACGTTAAGATCACGTGGATTACGACAAAGTGCGAAATAACCCAAAGACATAAACAAATCTCTTAGATTGATCGACTTTTTGAACACTCAGTATTTGACCTTTTATTGCAATCAAACCATCATTCTTGTAAAAATACCAAAAGGAAATATTATATTTAAAACGACCAAAATTAGGCAAGAATATTAAGTACGATGTTATTTTCTTTTTTTGCGTTTACTACAATAAGATCGAGTTTATAGGACGCCAACAATATCCAAATGTCCTAATAGATCGTTTTATAAGTCTTACGTTTATAAGACCAAGCAACAAACCGTCTTATCTACAAGCATTGTAATAAAATTATAGGACGCTTCTAGACGTCTTAACAAGTTTTTTAGGGCATTTTTGAAATAAAGCGTCATATTAGCTATTCTATAAGACACTTTTGAGAAGTGTCCTATAAACAGATCTTTTTTATAGGGCGCTTGTTTATATCAGACATTTTTCCAAAATGTTCTATAAAATAACTAATACGATGATTTATTTTAAAATGTCCCAAAAGCATCATATAAACTTACTGTAACACTTTTAGATATGACAACTTATTTTAAAATGTCCTAAAACGATTGTTAAGACGTCTAAAAACATCATACAAACTTATTGTAACACTTTTATATATGACACTTTATCATTTGATCATATAAACTTAAGTCATATGATACAGTCCATTGGAACAATTAGATATTTTTAACGTTCTATAAATCTGATTTTGTTGTAATAATGACATGTTTGTGCAAAAGAGGCTCAGATCCCAAAAGAATTGTTACTCTCGCATTGCGGTTACCAGACTCGAACTCTTGCCGTTCGTAACGAAAAACCATATACGGTGATAAATAGTCTATCACTCTTAACTTAATAGTTAATCGAAGAAAAAGAACATGCCTTGGATGACGATTTCCTTTAACAACTTTTTGCCCGTATTTTCGCCATTTATAGCCATCGTCAAGAAGATCAATTTCGCTGGTTGCTTGTACAACGATCCGAGGTTCCGTAACCGTCCGATGAGATGAAACCGGATCGACTGCCTTGACCTCTACATTCCTATACCATACATACCATATATTGCAACTTAATTAGCATGATAACAACTATATGTTTTAGCGTAATAAATGAGTTCTATCAACTTTTTAGACAATTATATTCGACTTTTTGTTGCAAACTAATCATTTGTACTCGTAAAAGATAAGGAAAAAAAGTTATAGTTTAAAAGAACAAAAAAATTGGATAAATTATAATGTGAGAATATATGAAATCTCCGTATTACTCTCTAAAAGAACTCTTGAGGAGAGAAATAAAAAATTCAGAAACACCATGATAACCATTCATCTGTATAATATGCATATGTTCATACAAGTAATCTGTTCATCATGCATACGTGCATAATGCATGCATGTACATGGAATCGAAGAAACATCTGCGATTATTTATATGCAGATATGCATGTTTTACAAATACTACAAGGGTACTAATGCAATGCAATGAGATACATCTTCATTTTAATGTTTCGTTTTATTTTGTCTTTGTTGATATAATTCGGTTTATGTGGTTTTGAGAAAGATAATATTTTTATTTTTTAATAAAATTAAATTTGAAAATATAATAAAAAATTGAAAAAGTATATTTATATTAATATTAATATCAAATTAACTATTTAAAAGTTCTCGT